GGGGTCATCATGAGTTGGATTCAGGAGGAAGACCTGGTGATCTGCTCCCATCAAGATCACAGCCTAGAAGACCCTATGGGGCAGTTCTGCTCTGACACACAGGGTCATCATGAGCTGGATTCGGGAGGAAGACCTGGTGATCTGCTCCCGTCAAGATCACAGCCTACAAGACCCTATGGGGCAGTTCTGCTCTGTCACACCGGGTCGTCATGAGTCAGAATCGGCTCCACAGCACCCAGCAACAACAGTTCTTCTCTTCTTCCAGTACCCAGCTTATGGCCTGGTACAGGAGATACTGAACAAACATCCGTGGATAAGTGAATGAATAAACAAACTTATCCACCAGTTTATTTAAAAAAAAAGAAAGAAAACCCTATAGAGCACAGTTCTACTCTGACACACGTGGGGTCCCTGGGAGCTGGGGTCAACTCTAAGGCAATTATTTAAACGAATTCTTAGGTTAGGACTTAAAGAGAACCAAGAGGAAAAGGGCCAGGAGTCCTACAAGCGGCAAGCACCAGTGAGGATGACGTACGGTCTGTGCCTCCTGGTGTCCACCCCACCAGGTGACAATCTGATGGCAGGCACAGGTCTTCACACTGTGCCATGGAAACCTCAGTCAGCAGCCTCCCTCCCGTGGGCACGTCTGTGTGCTGCCTGGAGGGGCTCTGAAAACCCTGCCCTGTGTGCATAGTTTCCTGTCCACCCACTTACCCAAAGCACTCAAGCGATTCATTTCTTAAATAATTCTATTTCCTCAGAAGAACCCTGGTGGAGCAGTGGTTAAAGTACTCGGCTACTACCAGAAAGGTAGGCAGTTCAAACCCACCAGCCACTCCACAGGAGAAAGATGTGGCAGTCTGCTTCCGTAAAGATTAAAACCATACCCAAAACCAAACTGTTGCCGTCGAGTAGATTCCGACTCATGGTGACCCTATAGGACAGAGTAGAAGTGCCCCACAGAGTTTCCAAGGAGCACCTGGTGGATTCAAACCGCCGAGCTTTTGGTTAGCAGCCGAGCTCTTAACCACTGCGCCACCAAGTCTCCTGGGAAACCCTACGGGGCAGCGATACTCTGTCCTATATGTCAGAATCAATTGACGGCAATGAGTATTTCCTCAATATATTAAAAAAAAAAAAAAAGTGATTACAAAAAGATTTCCAAGATTTGAAGTACAATGAAGTTTTGTGGGGAAATATTAAAAAAAAAAAAAAAAAAACTTTAAATACTTTATTGGGCGTGGGAATGACCATTCTGTTTTTGCAGCAAATGCAGAGGTTCAGGTAAACTATTAAAAAAAAAAAAAAAAAGGTGGAACAAATGATCTTCCGAGCGACGTCCTGCTGGCAGCTATGGCCCAGCGCCACAACGGGCAGGGAGACGGGGCTGTGCGGCGCCATCCTTCTGGGGCAGGACATCCCCCCAGGAAGGCTTGTAGAAAATTGTCTATTCTCAGAGGCTGACCAAGCCTTGGGCTCTGCCAAGCCTGGCAAAGAATTCTCCTCTAACAAACTGCAGATGGGGACCGATTCACTTCTGAACAGAAACAACTCTAAAGGCTCCTGGGGTCCCTGAGAAAGCATCTGCTCCTACTGGAAGCCCAAGCACAAAGGCTTTATCTGCTTGGCACTTTCTCATCTCTGCAGGAAGGGACCGTCACTGTGGGGGGACGGCAGGAGAGCAAACCTAACACTTGACAAAGTCAAGTACAACCGTCAGGTAGAGGACTGCAGGAGGAAAATGCAGCGCAGAAAATCATCAGATGACGCTCCCTGGGCAAATGGGTGATGCTGGGTGCCGTCAAGTCGGTTTCCACTCACGGCGACCCCAGGAGACAGGGCAGAACTGCCCCACAGGGTTTCCTAGGCTGTAATCTTTACAGGAGCAGATCACCAGGTCTCTCTCCCACGAAAGGTCGGTGGTTCAAAACCACCCGGTGGCTCCTTGGGAGAAAGATGACAGCCAAGGAGACCCTATGGAGCAGTTCTTCCCTGTCGTATGGGGTCACTGAGTTCCAGCTCTCACAGGTTTCACTGTAAAATTCACAAGCCAGTGGTGGACTTTTTGATCTCTGGTATGATGATGACATGCAGGCTACTTCCTCTTAGAAGACTAGGAATTCCATCCCTTGGAATCCTTGCCCATGTGACACGGGAAGCTTTACAAGACAAGAAGACTGGTAGATAAGAATGAGCAGTTGCCATGGATTCCTCCTTTCCCAATGAATTTTACAATTTAGATCATTTGAGTGAGTCCCTAGAGGAGGAACTGTTTCATGACTAACGTGCTTTCTAGAATTAGCATCTATTTCTCATTTATAATGCTGGAATGTGGCAGCTTTCTAAAACCTGTATGAGCCTTCTATTTATCTAATATGTTAAGATCAACCTTTAATTTAAGAATCTAGCTTTAATTTTTAATATGCAATACACACACAAGGAGCCCTAGTGGCACAACAGTTAAGTGCTCAGCTGCTAACCGAAAGCTTGGAGGTTCGAACCCACCCAGCAGCTCCACCGGAGAAAGACCTGGCGATCTGCTTCCGTAAAGATTACAGCTAAGGAAACCCTACGGGGCAGTTGTACTCTGTCACGTGGGGTCGCCATAGGTTGAATCAACTAGACAATGACAACAACAATATACAAAATATCAAACAACAATAATTCAAAATATCCCTCAACATAATAAAAAGGCATTTTGATAGGTCCGCATTAAAAAACAGATTTCAAGCAAAGATTATGGCTAAATATTATAATCTTAAATAAACAAATGAAACCACTGGTAAACTCAGAATGACCTGCAAATCAAACTGTACACGTGACCAGTGTTTTTTAATTCAGTCCACCATCTCGGTTCTGTCAAATCGTTAAAAAGTCCACAGAAGACTGAAAGGGAATGTTTCCTTTAGGTTCATCTTGCCAAGTCACATTAAAATGTCCATTCATCCAGGTCAACTGACGTCCATCCCATAGCTAAAGAAATGGCCTTTCAATCCAACTCTGAAATGATGTTTTAAATTTAAGATGTGTAACATTCTAGAAACAGGCCTCTCGATGCCATCAAGATGGAGATACTTCATTCCTTAGATAAGTCTTTAAAAAGCTATGAAAGGGCATAATCACTGCTCTCTATTCGCCTAGAGGGACCGAGGAAGAAGGAGAGTCAGGAATAGGAGGAGGCTATGAAATGTGTGGCAACTGCCTCCATGAACAACTGCCTCCTTTGCCATGAGACCAGAAGAACTGGATGGTGCCCGGCTACCATTACTGAACATTCTGATCAAAGATTCTATAGAAGAATCCTGATCAAAAGGGGAAAATGCAGAATAGAATTTCAAATACTCATGGACTCCACACTTCCTGGAGCCATGAAGGTTGGATGAACCCCCAAAACTACTGCCCTGGGATAATCTTTAACCCTGAAACCTTAAACCAAAAATATCCCCTGAAGTCTTATTAAAACCAAATAATAGTTTAGCTTAACTAGTAAAAATTGTCTGCCTTGAGCATTAAGCTCCATTAAGAACTATCTGTATTGGATCAAATTGACAACAGCAACTCAAAAGTTTATATAGGAAGCTTGGGGGGAGTTGGTTTATGTTAATGCGGGAGGAACAACTCAACTTGAAGAATGTCATCTCTGTCACTAAATGGTACATGTAGAAACGGCTGAATTGGTGTATGTTTTGTTGTGTATATTCTCAACAATGACAAAAAATTGATTTTTTTTAATTCTATAAAAGGTAAATCAGTCTCACCACTTAGCATCACTGAGATGTAAACTACTAAAATACTATTTAGATCAAATAAGTAGATCAGGTTTTTCTCTACTGGTCAGAGTCCACCTCTACACCTCGGTCATGCCCCAGGCTTATAGGACATATGACTATAGCACAAAATTGAAAACAGATAACTGAGGAATGGAGTTTTTAAGTCTCATAGAATCCAGATTTCTGGATTCTATGGAGGCTGAAATGACCCACCCAAACTATTGCCCTGAGATAATCTTTGAAAGTTATCTTTCAGTCAAACAATAATCGAGCTTACTTAGTAAAGAACCTTTGCCTTCAACACTGTGATCTTTTGAAGAATTATCCATGGGCAGTTCAACAACAGAAACTCCAAACGTCAGACTAGAAGTATGTGTTAGGGTAAATCAGCCATCATCTGAACTGTTCTTCACGAAAATGCTGCACGTCCACGAGTTATTATGTAAACACTGTTCTGGCCCTGTTTTCATGGCAATGTATAACTATTAGCAGTATGCTGGGGTATAAGAATCTTGGAAAGATTTTTCTTTTTTGGAACGTTTTTGTCTCTCTAGTTGGAAATGGTGCCCCGATTTACAAATCACATATTAAATAAACTTCAATTTCTATTATTGGCTTAATATTATTTTTGTTTTAACAGGACTGAAAAGCACTATTATAAGCAGTTCATAACTGGAAAAGTAGAAATTACTGAATAATCGTTTCGGCTTCAGAGATACACATTCATATTTTATTCCCATGCCTAATTCTAACCTTGGAATGCCTTGAGGTCAACAAATGCCTATTTGTGGACAAAATGAGCCAGTTCCCTCAACAATGTCAGCAAAATACATTTCAGATCCCCACTGCATGCCACTAATATCCTCCACCTCCCTGGTGCTTGCCTTTCAAGTCACAGTTATACCAAAATCTTCTCCTACCTGCTTCCCGTCCAGGGTGTACAGGCGCTTCACCACTCCCGAGTCGAGCTTGATGGCATCGGTGATATCGGTGAGGACCTGCTCAAAAGAATGAGCGGTCTTCTTGTTCAGCAGAATCCTGACAGCTTTCCGTGGCTTCACCCCACTTCTAATGATGGTGACCAGCTTGGGCCGAATGAAATCCTTGTTCTCCCTCACCTCTGAAGGGCTCCCCTTGGCGGTGGCCAGCGACGACACAGCCCGCGAAGCTGAGCTGGTCTTGACATTTACTGACCAGTTGGGGTTCACGTTCTTGGTGTACTCCAGTTTCTTGAACGGCTCGATTGAGCCACACACATAACTCTCTCCTAGGGAAGGAAGAAAGAGCATTAGATTTGGCTGGATGAAAACTCGTTTTCCTTCCGATCGGGTCTTTGGTTTCTCCTTTACTTCTTAGGCATGAGAGTGAACTGTGACTTTTAAAGCCATGGAAGCATGATTCATAATCAGTAAGAGAGGTTTTGACTCCTTGTCTGGTTTTGTCAGCAACAGATTGGCACCCGGGGGAAAAAATCATCATTCCATCCTCTCCTCATCTACGGACGGCTGATAGGAGTATTGATATATTGGAATAGACCACGAAAACGTATGACATTGAATTTGAAGTAGAAAATTCCTTGGGATTTAGGGATATTTATATTTATAGAGGAGGGTGCCCCAGTGGCGCAATGGTAAAGGGCTCAGCTGATAACCAAAAGGTTGGTGGTTCGAACCCACCCAGAGGCTCTGCAGGAGAAAGACGTGGTGATCTGCTCCCATACGGATTACGGCCCAGAAAACCCAATGGGGCAGTTCTACTCTGTCACATGGGGTCACTGTGAGTCAGAATTGACTTGACAGCACCCAACAACAACAACACATTTGTAGAGAACTTCAGAATCTAAGATACCTACATTTGCTATCTGAGATAATTTAAACACTGAAAATGAGTCAGAAAACAGCTTCATTAAATAAAGAGGTTATTTATAAGCATGATGAGAGCATGTAGCAAATATTGTATAAAGCCAAGTAAAATTCCAAAAGCAAAAGAATAACCAAGCCTTCCTTCTCTCCATCTGTGCGCTGCTGAGCACGGTGACCCGCAAGTCCATTCATTCTTGCTTCTACGTAAAGGGTTTTCAGAGTGGTCAATTGACTCCAAAATAAATATGAAGTTAAAGTGTTATTAAAAATGACTCCTTAACAGAGAATCCTATGATGAAAACGCTCAGGCTGTTAAGCAAATGTGGATCACAAACAAAAAGAAAATAACATGTGCCAAGAGATGACAAGTTATCAAATTATTGACCCTAAATAGGTATTTCATAAAGTCAGGTCAGGGCGTTTTGAAATTAATAAATATTTTATAATGGCTTTTTTTCTGTGTTAATAAAGAAAGTATAATTGTGAATAGGTGAAAGTGTTAAAAAGTCTTGCAACTGCTAGTAATCTAAGATTGATCTAACCCAGCCCATTTACTTTTATCTACGCCGTTGTCCTATATTTTTAAATTAATAGTGCAAGCATCCAAGGCCACTGAATAAGCATTCACATAAAAATAACTGAACCAGGGTTTGAAAAATATAAAGGCACAACTATCCATGTTATCAAACATCTACTTTGTAAATGTTTTTAAAGTATATTCTGGATGTGCGTACATATGCATTATGTATATGTGTGTCTTAACCAGAAACCCTGGGTGGTACCTACTGGGCTGAGGGCTAGGGACGACCTTGGGGACTACCTAGCTCAACTGGCATAATATAGTTCATAAAGAAAATGTCCTACATCCTAGTTTGGTGAGTAGTGTCTGGGGTCTTCAAAGCTTGTGGGCGGCCATCTAAGCTACTCCACTGGTCCCACCCTCTCTGGAGCAAGAAAGAATGAAGAAAACCAAAGACACAAGGGAAAGATTAGTCCAAAGGACTCATGGACCACAACTACCACGGCATCCACCAGACTGAGTCCAGCACAACTAGATGGTGCCCGGCTACCACCACTGGCTGCTCTGACACGGATCACAACAGAGGGTCCCAGACAGAGCTGGAGAAAAGCATAGAACAAAATTCTAACTCACAAACAAAAAGACCAGACTTACTGGTCTGACAGAGACTGGAGAAACCCCAAGAGTATGGCCCCCAGACACCCTTTTAACTCAGTACTAAAGTCACTCCTGAGGTTCACCCTTTGGCCAAAGATTAGACAGGCCCATAAAACAAACAATAATACACGTAGTTCAACCATGTATAGGAGACTAAAAGGGCACACCAGCCCAGGGGCAAGGACGAGAAGGCAGGAGGGGACAGGAAAGCTGGATGAATGGAAATGGGGAAGCCAAAGTCCAGAAGGGGAGAGTGTTGACATGTCGTGGGGTTGGCAACCAACATCACAAAACAATATGCGTAATGTTTAAGAAACTAATTTGCTCTGTAAACTTCCACCTAACACACAATAAGAAGAAAAAAAAGGAGCCCTGGGTGGTGCAAACATTTAATGTTTCGGCTGCTATCCAAAAGGTTGAAGGTTTAAGTCCCCCCAGGGGTACATGGGAAGAAAGGCCTGGCAGTCTACTTCTGAAAAATCAGCCATTGAAAATCCTGTGGAGCACAGTTCTACTCTGGCCCACATGGAGACGTCATGAGTTGGAGTCAACTCGACAGCAACTGGTTTGGTTTTATCCTGTGTTAAATCTCCTCCTTCATGGGGCCTAGAGTTAGGAGACGAGAGAATCATCAAAAGGTTGTTTCCGAGTTCTGACATGAGGTAAGTTACCAAACCAAAAGCAAACCCGTTGCCGTTGAGTCGACAGATTAAGGACCATTCTAAACTAATAAAGTGCATACACTGACTCTTGGCCATCGAATCGATTCCGACTCATAACGAACCTAGAGGACAGAGTAGAACTGCCCCATAGGGTTTCCAAGGAGCGGCTGGTGGATTCGAACTGCCGACATTTTGGTTAGCAGCCGAGCTCTTAACCACTGTGCCACCAGAGCTCCGTGCATACACTAATTCCCAAGTCTTCTGGTGTAACCCATACTGCAACAATGAAAGAAGAGTTAATTCATCTAAACCAAGGCATACTGGGGCAAAATAGCCCAGAATTTGCTTTGCACGTTTTGTATTACTTATTACAAATGAAGTTAAACAATGATGGCATGACTGCAGAGATCTCAGAAGATTTAAAGGAAATGGTATAAAAATCTACTTAGAGACGGTGCTGGAAATTATTAAACATGATAACCCACTGGCTGGCTCCAGCTGATTCAAGCCCAAAAGTTCTATGTTAAGAATGAATCTCAACTTGAAAGGTCATACTCTGAGTGTCCAAAACACCCAGCAAATAGCAAGAGCTGCAAAAGCAGCATCTGCCTGACTCCATGAGGCATTCACAAAGGCCAAAAAACTAATATTTGCTTTTCAGTAAAGAGAGAGATGAAGAGAATGACAGTGTAAAACATGGAAATAAAGCATGAAATCATGTCTGGACCCAACTAATACCCTAAAATGTCAGAACAGGATAACTTTTCCCTGAAAGATACAAGTATATTATTTTCTTCACTGGATGACAGAATAATTACTATGTAAGAATGTTAGGTTATTCTTAAGATACCAGAAGAGTTCCTGGTTTATTTGTTTTTATTTTTTTCCAAACGGTTATCTATGCATTTTTAAATTATTGTATTTGCCATTATTTTTCAAAGTACGGGATTAACTTACTCTAATAAAGTTTCACTATGAAAAATTCTGCAAAGTTAATTCTACTTAGCCATTGGCTCCCATTATGGGATTAGAGAGGAAATCCCATTTGAAAGAAATTCTGTAAGGCAATATTTAATACTTCCAGTAATTCTGTGCCCGATCAAGGAGCCCTGCCGGGGAAGTGCTTATACGCTCGGCTGCTAATCAAAAGGTCAGCGGTTCGAACCCATCAAGTGGCTCCACAGGAGAAAGATGTGGCCGTCTGCCAGTCTGCTTCCATCAAGATTACAGCTTTGAAAATCCTATGGGGCAGCTCTACTCTGTCCTATAGGGTTCTGGTACATATATACACATACATATACGCAAATATATATGCAGCCCTGGTGGTGCAGTCGTTAAGAGCTTGGCTGCTGACCAAAAGGTCAGCAGTTCAAACCCATCAGCTGCTCCTTGGAAACTTTATGGGGCAGTTCTACTCTGCCCTATAGGGTTGCTGTGAGTCAGAATCGACTCAACAGCAATATATAAATATATATATACATACATCCAGACCTGATGCCATTGAGTCAATTCCAACTCATGGCAACCCCGTGTGTTACAGAGTACAACTGCTCCATAGGGTTTTCTTGGCTGTAAACTTTATAGAAGCAGATCGCCAGGCCTTTCTTCTGTGGCACCACTGGGTGGGTTTGAACCGCCAACCTTTTGATTAGTAGTCAAGCTCAAACAGTGCCACCCAGGGACCTTTTACGGGGACACACACACACACACACACACACACACATACACCAAGGAACCTGGGTGGCGCAATGGTTAAGCACTCAGCTGCTAACGGAAAGGTCAGCAGTTCAAACCCACCAGATGCTCCATGGGAGAAAAGACTTGGTTATCTGCTTCTATAAAGATTACAGCCTGGGAAACCCTACAGGGCGGTTCTGCTCCGTCATATAGGGTGGCTGTGAGTTGGAATCAACTTGATGGCACACTACAACATATATACCAGTACCAGGTGCCATGGAGTCTATTCCAACTCATGGTGACCCCAGGAGTGTCAGCGTGGAACCCAGCTCCGTAGGGTTTTCAATGGCTGTGATCTTTCGAATGCAGATTTCCAGTTCTTTCTGCCTCTATGTGGAATCAAACATCCAACCTTTCTGTTAGTAGCCGAGTGTTCAACTGTTTGCACCATTATATGTGTGTGCGCGTGTATCTAACTCCATACTATACGAGTACGTATCTGAAAAACTCACTGCCTCTAAGGGATTCAGGGAATTGCATGCTTTATAGCCATTCAAAAATTAATTTTAAAAAATTTAATATAGTAAGGAGACCATAGAAAGAGCCAGTAAACGAGAGAAATAAAGTGGAGGGCACCACGCCAGGGGCCAGGAAGGGGGCCCGGATGCCCCAGCAGAAGAGAGGTACTTTAACCGTGGGGGGAAATGTGGGTTTACTCCTGAGAGGGTAATTTTCTTAAAATAATATTTTATTGTGTTTTTGGTGAAAGTTTACACAGCAAATTAGGTTCCCATTTGACAATTTCTACACAAATTGTTCAGGGGCATTAGTTACGTCTTTTACAATGTTGTCAACATTGTCTTTAATTCCATTCTGGTTGTTCCATTTC